GGAGTTTCTCATTTCTTTTTGCTCATTTTCCCAGTCACTGCTGATTCCAGGAAACTATAGATTTGATTTTTTAAATAAATATTTTAACCCCTATAGATTAATTTTACTTATTATATAATTTCATATAATTGGAAACAGTAGGTAGTATGTCTGACTTATTTCATTCAATAAAATGTGAATGTCTGTATTAGTAGCTTGTTCACTTTGATTGCTAAACAGTAATTTTATTACTTGCCACAATAAATTTATCTTTTCACTGTAGATAAATGTTTGTGTTGGTACCAGATTTGGGGTATTTGATATTGTCATTTTGCCATCCTTTTACCAGCCAACCTGACCTTGTTATTTGAAATGCATCTTTGTAAGTATCACGTGAGTCTTGTTTTCATCCACTCTAATGATCTCTGCCTTTGGAGAACAGGGACAGGACTAATAGATTTATTAATGAGTTAAGAAGGACAAGCATTAAGTATTTATAAAGGTTTGCCTTCACCTTCCATTAAAATCTGGATGCCCACTGTTAACCCAGTGGTTCTTAAAGTGTGGTTGATGGAGCCCTAAGGTTTCACAGAGACCCTTTAGGGATTGTGTGAGGACAAAAGTCATTTTCCTAATAGTGTTAGGTATTCTTTCCCTTTTTCACAATTATTACTATGGCTTGTAAGTGTCCTTCAAGGCCCATATGTTTTAACATACCAAGCCTTTAAGCTTGATCCCTAGTCTGTGGCGCCAAGGAGAGGTGGTAGAACATTTAAGAGAGAAGCCTAGTAGAAGTCCACTCACTGGGGGTATGCCCTTGATGGGTATATTGGAATCCCAGTCCCTTCCTCTCCCCCTCTCTTTCAGTTTTTAGATGCTATTTGGTAAACCGGCCTCCTCCATCACATTCTGTGCTGCCACAAGCCCAAAGCGACTGGGTCAAGTAATTCTGGACTGAAACTTTTGAAACCATGAGCCAAAATAAACCTCTCCTCCTTCTAAGGAGATATCTGAGGTATTTTGTCACAGTGACAGAAAACTAACACAACTGTCATGGCACTGATAATGCAGAAGCATTAGTGGGTAAAACTGCTGGGACTTCAGCAAAAATCAAAGCAATGACACCAAGCCTGTACTAGCAGTTATGTTATTTTATTCCCCACTCACATTAAAGCAAACAAAAGCCAGTTTCATTCAAGAGTATGCTTGATGAAATGTTAAAAAAATTATTAAATTTTAAATTTCTCGATCCTTGTGTATATGACTTTATATTTTCTAGGTGGCAAAATGGGACTACATTTTGGTTTTCTAGCAAAAATGTACTTGTATAATTGTAAGAGTTATGAGCAGCCAGGTGCAGAGGTGCACACCTGTTATATCAACTACTCAGGAGGCTGAGGCAGGAGAATCACAGCAGACATAACTCTTTTAATTAATTTTTATTAATTAACTTCCTGATACACGTCTAGGACACTTTCTTTTTCTGATAGTTTTTGGCTGATTTCTATGAGTACTTCTTCATAAGAGAATTTCATAATTTCTTGGGAAGAACAAATTTCTCTACCATGATAGATCAAACTTTTTTTTTACAGTTTCCACATACCCCACACCCAAATTCCCCTACTGCTAATATCTTATGTTATTATAAACTTGTCACAATTATAAACCAATACTAATATGTTATTCACTGAAGTCCACACTTGCTTAGATATCCTTGGTTTTTAATCTAGTATCTAGTGTCATTTTTCTGTCCCAGGATCCCATCAAGAACACATCATAATTCGGCCGTCTCTTTAGGTAACTCTGAATTGCAACATTTTTTTTAAGGCAGTTTTTTTGTTTGTTTGTTTTGTATTTGATGACCTTGGCAATTCTGAATTGTACTGGTTAGGAAATTCACATGTCTTTTGATTGAAAATTGTGTTTTCATTATTAGACTGGGGTTATGGGTTTTGGTGTTTGTTTGTAGAGGAAAAACAGAGGTAAAGTGTCATTTTCACCACATCTTATAAAAGCACATATAGTCAACATGATTTAGCAAGTTGATGTTGACCTTGATCACCCGGATAACCTTGATCACCTGATCAGGTTTCTCTACACTTAAAGAATGAGAAGTTATGTTTCACCTCTCTGAGGATGAAATATCTATAAAAATTATTTGGGAATTCTTCAGAATGGGAGATTTGTCTATTTATCCCAAATTTATTTATTTACTCAATCACTTATTTACAGCAGTATAGACTCATGGGTATTCACTTTGTACATTGAGTTATATTAAAATACTACTTTATTTTGTTGCCCAGATTTGTCCATTGGGAACCCTTCACTTGAGTTCCTGTGTCTCTCTGATGTGTTTTTTGTTTTATTTTGTTGTTTGGTGTTTTCAAGTATAAGATGTTCATCTTATGTATTCTCTACCACAATTCTGGAATCAGCTGTTTCTCCAAGGATCCCTGGTTCCTTTTATTTGAAAACGGAATAGGAACACAGATCTATTCATTTCCTTCTCCTATTTTTACATTGGGTTACTTTCTTTCTTATCAATTTGCAGTATCTCTTTATACATTTTGTTTATACATTATAAATGTTTCCAGAATTTTAACTTTATCCTACAGAAGTAACAACATGACCACAGAATTATTTGTTTCAGCAAAAAAGGAAAGAATGAATATATATATATGTGTGTGTGTGTGTGTGTGTGTATATATATATATAAAATATGTAATAGTGCATCCATAAAACACTATTAATCCATTTTTTTTAATGAAGTAGTTCTAAATTACTTTAAAAGATGTCTACAGGATAATTTTGAGTTAAAATGAGTTGAAAAAAACAGTACAATCCTAATTACACGCACATATTTCACACACAACACACACATATTTAAGGAAACAATGTGAATGGATATATATTGAACAATTCTAAAAGGTAGAATGTGAAGAGGAAAAGAGGAGTTTATATTTTACTTTATGCTTTTTTTTTACTTTTTATAGTATTTGAATCTGTTAAAAGACTTTCACTTTTGCAGAGTAAAAACATTTAAGTGTGTGTGTGTGTGTGTGTGTGTGTGTGTGTGTTAAGAAAATAGATTGATTAAAATCAGCTGCTCCTGTGAAATTTCACTGTGGTTTTGATCTCAGCATCTCCACAAGAGGCACTGCTGCCACCTTGTGGTGCAATGCTACCATGGAAAACCACCTACCTAAGCATTTCTGGACCTCAGTACCCTTGCCACTTGGGGCAGGCTAATCCTTTGTTGTAGGGGATGTACCATGCCTTGTAGGATGTTTGACAGTATCCCTGGGCTCTATCCTCTAGATACCAGTAGTATTCTCTCCCCTGAGTTGTGACAACCAAAATTGTCTCCAGTGGGACATATTGGAGGTGAATTGGAAATAACACAATATTTTCCAAACAGTTAGCCAATTGTATTACAGTCTTTATTATACAATTCTTCCTTTCCTCACTGAATTGTAATGTGAACTCAAAAATCATTCATATTGCTGGCAACATCATTCTTTTAAGAGACTGACAGTCTCATGAGTGCAAGGTATATAAACAAAATGTATTCATTCACTTTCAAAAATATCACAACAGAAAGTCTTTACATGATAATTTTCTAATGTTTGACTTGTTTCTTTTTTGGTGGAATAAGTGATCTCTATCCCCTGGGTATTCTCAAATAGATTTCTTTTCATAGCTTTGGGATATTCTGAGATTCAAAATTTTTAAAAATATTTATTTTTTAGTTGTAGTTGAACACAATACCTTTATTTTATTTATTTATTTTTATGTGGTGCTGAGGATCAAACCCAGGGCCTCACACGCACTAGGCAAGCACTCTTACCACTGATCCACAACCACAGCCCAAATATTACTACTTTCATTTCAGGGAGCTGCTTAAAAGGACTTAAAAATGCAAAATGAATGAATAGGGCCTTCCCAATCTCTCCCAACCAGACACACTTTCTCACTGTCCTCTGAATTCATACTGCATTTTCCTGTAGCACTTTATTATTAAGTAAGCCCTTAGTAAATCTGATTTGTACCACAGACTATGTACATCCTTTCTCCCTATAGGATTCTAAGCAGATGGAAGCAAGAAATGCCTCCTGTATTTTTGTCTATCTATACCAAAGTGAACAAATGGAACTTTGATTCTTACTCCACCACATTCTATGACTTATCCTCCCCAATTATTTGCTAAAGAGGCTCATCTTCCTCACCCTCTCTAGACTGATGGGAGAGGCTGCCAAGCCTCCTGATCATCACTGCTGATTCCACACAACTGAGGAACATCTGAACACCATCTTGATGGCAGTCCATCCCACCCATCTGATCCTGTCTTTTCAAACTATTACTGACAATCTTCCTGCTAAAAGTAAGAAACCTATTTGCTTCCGAAATTAAAATAAGATTTCAGGGAAGAGAGTAAAACCCACAGCTTACCTGGTATTTCCCTGTATGGTGAAGAGCAGCCATGGTTTCTTCCTCAAGATACCCTTTTGGGGTAAAGGGCAGGGTCCCAAATGGCAGAGCTTGAAGGAAAAAGTTAACAAAAGAACCAGTTATTTTTATATGTGTCAGATCTATTGCATTAGAAAAAGATACTTACGATAATATGTGCCTCAGACATTGGCTGTCATATGGTTTAAAGGATTTTACAGACATCTAAAGCTTCAAAGATAATCTCAGAGGGTAGAATGAATGTTAACTTAGGGAACAATATGACCATTAATGGGGTTCAGGATCTGCATGAGCCACTGTTCTAAGAATGAGATTCCCTGTGATTAACCAAACAAACAAGAACAAAAAGTAACCCTTACTAATAGGGCTGGAGAAAAACTCTAGTCTCTGAGGTGACAGGCCAATTCATTGATCTGATCATTATATGTTATACAGAATTATTCAAATGTCACACTGTACTCTGTAAATATACAATTACTATGTCAAATTAAAAAAAATTAAAGACTGCCAGCCTCAACTCCTACATTCAAAAATGGAAAAACTGTCTTAACTTTGTACTCACTTCAAAAACACATATACACAAATTGGAAGGATACAGAGAAAATTAACATGACCCCTACTAAAGGATGCCATGCAGATTTGTGAAGTGTTCCATATTTTTTGTGTGTATTTCTCTTCCACAACATGGAAGCAACTTTAGCACAAGTAGACTGTGTAAATATTTCACTTTATTGTGGCTATATTTTTATCTTGCATTATTATGACTCTTAAATTTTATAGCAGCTTTAAACTTTACAATTCTATGGAATCTTTCATTGAATTTGGAATTTAATTATCTCACAATAAATGATTAATAATGTGTTTAAAAAGTTTTCTAACTTTATATAACAAGGAAAAGCCACAGAAGAAAAAGAAAAAGTAGTGCCCATTTTAGCAGTCAAAAATCACAGAGGTCTTCAGCCACCACATCCTAAGTATTCCAGGTCCAGGATAAGCCTGTGACCATCTATTATAATTTTAATATCTCCTTCAAAACTCACATTTAAATTTAAATGCTCTGATGACAGTATTAAGAGGTGGGACCTTTAAGAGATGATGTGGTTGTTATCAAAGAAATAGGATAGTTATTGCAGGAGCAGACTCCCAGTAAGAGGAAAAATTCAATCTCCATCCTCTATCTCATGTACTAGCGTTTCCTTCTGCCTTCCACCATGTGATGATGTACAAAGCGACCCGCATGAGATGCTGAAGAGATGGTGCTGCCAATCCTTGGACTTCCCAGCTTCCAGAACTGTGAGCCAAATAAATTGCTTTCAATGTAAATTACCGAGTCCATGGTATTCTGTTACAGCAGCAAAAAACAGAATAAGACACTATCTGTCCCACTACACACATGATCCACAAAGTTGCATTCAGTCAACTCACTCATCCTGCATCCTAAGCACTGTGTACCTGGGAAGATAGCAGGCCCAAAGCATTGTGAATCAATCAATGAATGATCCACTAATTCCCTATGTCTGATTCAATGCCCATCAAGGAATTTTCTGCTTATGTCTATTTCTCCGTTTTGATTTTTTGCCTACAAGGAGAAATACAAATAACTTTAAGATCATATTAACTTTAAGCAATTCTTTGAACTTATTTCTGGGTTGTAGGGTAACATGCTATCAATTTAATTCTATATATAATTCTGTATTTTCCTAATATTCTACAGTTTATTCTTTCTTTAATCTTCCCTCACGCTCTACTCCTCTCCCCCTACCTCCCATCCACAAAAGCAATAGTTAAATCCCCTTGTAGATTTGTTTGAGGAATCAATGTTTGTAGCCTTCGGTCATCATAAACAGCACAGTATTTCCCAATTTTGAAAAATCAGTGCCTCTTATAATCCTTTCTCATTACAACACTAGCATTGGAGGTTTCCTGCCTATTTTCAAATCCTGGTCCTGTGTAACCATAGCAAAGTTTCTTCTTGCTTCAGTTTCTTCACTTTAAAAAGGGGGGAAGGGGTGAGCAGGAATAATGGTATCTACCACATAGAATTGTTCATTAACACATATAAAGGGCCCAAACCAGTACCCAGTACAGAGTAAATATTCAGTAAAGGTCATTTAATTATCAGTTCATTATTATTCTCAATACCTTCTACACATCAACATTAATCAAGACTTTGTGCTTTCTTTCTATTCCTTGTTCTATGAAGACAAAAAGTATAATCAATATTTTGTGATACTCCCTAACCCCTACTTCCCCCCAAAATGCCTACCAGCTCCCTGTACTGGACAGTGGCAATCAGCAGTGGGTAAGGTGGAAATAGGAACTCATAAGTCCCAAGCCTTGAGAAACCAGAGGGGCTGAGGGCAGGATATTATGGGAAAGCCAGAAAGAATAAGGAATAAGGGCAGACTATGGAAGCCCCCTCCCCACCTGTGTGTGTGTGTGTGTGTGTGTGCGCGTGCGCTTAACCACTGAGACATAACCCCAGCCCTTTTTAAAAAATATTTTTTAGAGATAGGGTCTCACTAATTTGCTGAGGCTGGCTTTGAATTTGCGATCCTCCTGCCTCAGCCTCTGGGATTACAGGCCTCCGCCACCACACCTGGTGTGAAAGCCCTTCTAATCTGGATCACCCCACTGTACTTCCTTAAATGAGAGAGTACTTTTTAAGAGGGAACTGAGAACCAGCCAAGAAGTAGTCCCTAATTCTTTCAGAACCAGGTAGCAGGTCCATGGACTCTGCAGATACAGATATGCCTGCCCTCATGAAAGGTTCAAAGGCCCAGAACTCCCCCATGTACTACCATGCCAAATCAAATCATCAGCTTCTCCCTGTCCACTTTCTTATCTCCACCCACAGTGTGATTTGCCGCCTCTCTCGTCTTTCAGAGAGGAAGCCAGTATAAAGAAAGAAAGTATAGAAAGTAGGTATCTTATTTTCTTGGAGCTTCAATTAAAAAGTGAATGATATCAGAAAATTAATACCATTTATCAAGCACTCACCATTTACCAGGTGTTTTCCATAAATCACTTTTTATATATTATGAAAGAAGTAACTTGTCCAAGATTTCAGAGTTACCCACACACATTTTACAAGATGACTGTAAAGAAAAAGCAAATTATGTGTGTTCCTGTAAGATGCCCAGATAGTGGTAGAGTCCTCTCTCATATTTCTTACCTCTGTTCTGAAGTTTGTGGGCCCAATCCTCTATAATCACAGCCTTTGCAGCACCACTTGAGTATAGTAACCATTCCCAAGTCTTCCACTTCCTTTCTGAGAATTTCCACCATTCTCCCAGAAATTCTGGCAAAAGATTCTGGACTGAATATTTCTTTTTCTATTCTCTGAGATCCTGCTCAAAACAAATAGGGAGTCTGAAGCAGTATCTTTTGAGATAAGGCTAAATTTAAGAACTTCAAAGGTTGGAGTTGTAGCCCAGTGGTACAGCACTTGCCCACCATTTGTGAGGCACTGGGTTTGATCCTCAGCACTACATATAAATAAGTGAAATAAAGGTCCATGGACAACCAAAAAAATATTTGAAAAGAAAGAATGAACGAACGAACAGAAAACACTTAGTCTTCAGGAAGCCTCAATACCTTTACCCAGGGGTTCTGCAGAGAAAGACACCTAAGAATATAAGACAATTACAAAGGTAAGATACTGTAATCAACAAGCCCAATTAATACATAAGTGTAAGAAGGCCTGATGGAAAATGCCCTGCTGGGAATGAGGGCACCTGTATTCTATGTGCCAGTGGGTGACCCAGAACAAGGCACTTTTCCTTCCTGTATTTCAGTTTCTTTGTATGTGCAAACGATGAGATGGATGTCTACTACTGAAGTAACACAGCTTTCCACAAATGATTATGAATGATCTCCTACATTCAGCCCTTCCCACGTCTTTAAAAAACAAAACCAAACAAACAAATGTTCCACCACAGGGTAGTCTGCAGGGACACATGGGTGCACGCGGCTTGATCTCTGACCTGCCCCAAACACTGGGAGCCTCAGACTCTACCTGCCTCACCTTCCAGCCAGGCAGTATGGACCCTTAACCCATTTCTGAGCAAAGGACCCAGAGGTAACTCAGGATATGAAACACACATACCCCATTGTCAGGCACACACAAAACCCAGAGAAAACTCCAGGGGAGAAGGGGTGGGTCAAGGTGGCCAAGCCTACACGGACACCAACCCAGCTCCAGAAGAAGGGACTATGGTCAGATTAGTGGGCCTGGGGCGGGGTGGGGGGCCTGGGAACAGACCCAGCGAGAAAAGCCCAGCATCTGCTCCTTCCAGGTCCAGACACCAGGAGGGTATCTGCCGGGAAAGAGCGCAGCCAGCAAAAGGGATCGGAAGCGGAAGTCGGCGCAGAGGCTCCTGGGAAATGTAGTCCGGCTCCTCGGGCTGCCAGACCTGAACCGGCTGCGACCCCGCTGAGTTGAGACCTCGGTAACCCTCAGCTGTCTCTGAAGGCAGAGCGGAGCCCTCCTGTGGCCCCGAAAGCACAGATTGTAGTTGGCTGGCGGGAAAAGGCGGACTAGAGCCATTGGGAGCGTTTAGTGAACCATGAAGGACTATTCACAGTGTTTTAGGAGGAAAAGATAGGAAGTCAGAATTGTAGATTTTGTCCCTTGGGTCGCTGTCCACAGAATAAGCTGGACTGCAGCATTCCTTCAGAGTCTGCCACAATTTCGGTATTCTTCTTTTCCAGAATTCTGGATGATGCACCAAGCTCACGCGTTATGGTTGCCATTACACACATCAGCTGGCCCATTCATTCTACAGCGGATCCCACCTTTTGCCCAGGACACGGACCTTTGATGGCTATCTGGGTTTCTGTCACTGAAGAACTGGGTTCTGATTCATGGAGAGGTGGGGCCTCCCTAGACCATCATTGCACCACCATGTTTATGTCTCTGCTCAGAAAAGTGTCCATTTATTTGTTATGTCCTGTTTCCTAGCCACTTTTATATTGACCATAGTCCTCCAAATACATAAGCGATTGGATTTTTGTGTGCCCAGGTTCAGTTAATTAAGGGTACATTCTGCATCCAGCTCCATGATGGTTCTACTGAGAAAACAATGAAGATAGTCGAATTCTTGGTCTCTTCTTTTTCTCTTCCGGAATCAGGAGACGTCTGCAGGACACATACAATTTTTTAGAATAGGCCCCAGTGTGCAACAGTCTATCACCATCAATTGGAGAAGCTGTACCTGAGTTCAGTCTATCCTGTCTTTACAACTGTGCTCTGGATCCTGTCTTTTAAAGCATTTTTCTGGCCAGAATGCTCTGGGAATCACAAAGATGCTACTGTACAGAAAGCAAAACTTCCAACTTGACATCCTTGTGCCAGAATTTCTGAAGAAATTCTGAAACCTCACCAGACATGGTGGCAAAAGCATGTAATTCCAGCAACTTGGAAGACTGAGGCATGAGGATTGTAAATTCCAGGCTAGCCTCAGCAACTTAACAAGACCCTCAGCAACTTAGCAAGACTCTGTCTCAAAATAAAAAATAAAAAGGACTGGGGATGTGGCTCAGTGGTTAAGTGCCCCTGAATTCAATCCCTAGTACAAAGGAAAAGAAATGCTGAAGCCTCTACAATTTTGGGTTCAGTGACAGAGATGGAAATCCCATAGGACACTCAACGAGCTGGGC